CCCGACGGGGTTGACTCTCAACCACAACCAAAGATTTTTTAACGCTGCTTATCCCAACTTCATTGTTTGGAGTTTGTGAAATTATTGTCCTCTTAGGTAAAATTGAATTAGTTACCACATACTTTCCCTGTAAACCACGTTTGGTAAGCTTACTAGTCGCCACCATCTGTCCCTTTTTCCAACACTCTTTGGTACCACATAAATATGAACCTCTAGTAACATTTGGAAAAACATTTTTAGAAGAGCTATTAACCCCATGTGGAGTTTCAACAACAATCTCAGGCCCAATATTTTCCAAAAATTACCCAGATTCTTCGAAAGATAAAGAACTAAGCACATCCTTTTTGTTGGAAGCCAATTCACCTTCAGTAAAAACAATGTCTACACCGGTATTAATAATATATATATCATCATTAACTAACACTTGCTTTGCACGATCATCACCCAAGGCCATAGCAATAGGACAGACACGAGGTTGATCTTCCTCCGAATTTGTGATATATTCCACACCACGCTTAACTCAACTACCTCCAATAGTTTTTGAGGTAGTACACATATTCATTCACCATACTGGAGCTTTGTTGAAGCTTCCACTTTCATAATTCTGCAAAATAAAAAAAAGGTTTTTGAGGCTTGTTGAAGTTTTGTTTAAGCTTTGCATTGTATACAATGGGGAGTAATGAGATTGCATAAATATATAGATTTTTTGTTGGTTATGGTGAGAATTGGGTGGTGCTAGAAGAGCAAATCAGCCTGATAGTTCTTTTTTATTTTATTTGGGATGGTATTTGAGCAAGAGGAAATCAGTCAGCAAACATATGATGGAAGTTATTCTCGTCGATGTGTCTTGGTTAATTTAGAGGGGTGTTGGGGTTGGAGAAAGGGAAAGTGGTGGTGATAGTAGAGGTGGGGGGAGGATGATGGGGAGGGGGAGGATGATGGGGAGGGGAAGGAGAAGGGGGAAAGGGTAGTTTTGGCATATTATATATTTTTATTTTTTAATTAATTTTTATTTATTCAGATAAAGAAATTTTAATTAAAAGCTGATGTGGCGTGTTTTTATTGGTCATTGACTTTTTTATTAACGAAAGTAACGATTTGGGTAAACGGGGTAACGTTTTAAATTTTAGGGGACAAAACGTATTGAAAAATATTTTAGAATTCAACTCGGTACAAATAATATACTTTAAGAGACAATAGTACTTTTAAGCGAATTTAAGAGACAATAGTCCTTTTAAGCGAAAATAATTTTATCATATTCTAATAACATGTTAATGTATAGCCCAAGAGTCCGTTAAATTTTCATTATTCTCGTCAACATACGATTTATGTTCTTGTAATGGTTATTTTTTATTATCTCAGTTATTATATTGTTAATTCCTAATGAAAGCATGACATAATCATTAAACGATTAATCTATAATAATCACTGAATGATTGGCATACTAATATATTTGATTCTTAATGTTCAACATTTTATCCATTTGATCTATAATTATAAAAATATAACCTTTCATATTCATATTTCTTTTATTTTAGTCTCTAAAAGATTAAATATATAACTTTAATAGGTTTGGTCTCTTAATAAATGACTCTATTAGTATAAACTTGAGCCCAGCACCTCGATTTCGCTCTCTTTTGGAATTTTAATTAAGACCCATCCATCCAAAACAATGAAAAATGTGACCTGAAAATGATGACCTGAGCTTAACCAGGAAGGAACAAACTATAAACAAGAAAATAGAAGGGTGACGGGGAAGGAGAGGCTAAAGGAAGAAAGAATGACAACGGAGGAAGCAAACGCAAGTAGGAAGTCGAGTGAAACTAATGGTCTATTTGGTAAAGATTTTTTTGAAGAGCTTTTAGTTAAAAATTTCGTTTTAACAGCAAAATCAATGTTAAATGGATAAAAAAAATACGGTGAAAACTATAATTTCAAATCAACCACAAAAGCTAAGATTTCTAACTTTTTTTATTTTCAACTTTGCGTTTAGAAGTAAATTATAATTTTACCCTTACTAATGCATGTGCTCCACTCGATTATATATTTATATTTTATTTTAATACTAACATCCTTAAAAAATAAAATATTACTTTTAATTATTTATTTTAATTATTTAAAAATAAATAAAATTCATGATTTATATATTAAAACATTAATAATGAGTTATATAAAATATATTTTTATTATAATTATATTTTTATATTTTTTATTATAGTTAAAATTGATATAATTCATATATAATAATTTTTTTTTGAATTTATTATAGTTTAAATTGATATGATTCATATATAAGTGTAAATATAATTTAGATGTTATATTTTTAATTTACAACATAATGTCTATGATTAACATTTTATCTTTTCAAACTTATTTTTTTAACAATAATTTCAAATAGTTAAATTTTAAACTGTATTTTTGTACAACACTTTTAAACAATGGCATATCTAGGCCTAGACCTACCTATGTCATAACCCCCTATGCCCAAAAAAGAGTAAATTATTTATTTAGTCACCCATTTATTATTTAGTTTTGTTTTGGACATTCAATTATTATTTATTTTAAATCATACTTAATTTTATTATTTGATTATGTTTTGGTCACCCATCTTTAAAAAATTAGTAGTGATGTTGACTTATGATCATAAGATAATGCCACATCATGATTGAAAAATAATTAAAAATATCATATTAACATCATTCTTAATTTTTTTAACGGTAAGTGATCAAAATAAAAATGAATCTAAGGTCAATTATGATTTTGAAAAAAAAATAATAGTTAAGTGACCAAAACATAAATTAAGTAATATGTGGGAGATCAAATCGTTAGTTTAACTTAACTAAAAAATATGTATGAATTATGTTAAAAATTATATTAGTCCAATTAATATACGTTTTTCTAGATTTAATCCATATATATAACTATTGTTATATTTTTAAATTAAATATATATATGAATTATTTTAAATAAAAAAATTTTATTATGTTTATATTGACCCGGACTACAAAATGGCCTTAAGAAGCAAAAGAGATACAAGAAGGATCCAACGGAAGAGAAAGCTTGAGGCACCGTGAGTGCTTAAAACAAAGAGAACTTGATATAAAAGAATTAAATGATATACGATGAAGGGTTTAGGACCGAAATTGTAAGAGATGTTGTTGCTTTCTTTTACGATACCAGCTTTTATATTTCTTATGATTCATTACATTATGTTCCTAAAATCTCATGTTAATTTCTTAATCTTTTTTTCCAAGTTTATAATCATAAAATTATAGCCTTTAATTGTGACATGTAATATTATACATTCATTGGTAATTTGACATGCGATGGTATGGTAATTTCGACAGCCATTAAAGCTGTAACTTGAGATGAAAAATTATTATGACATCATTTAAATGTATAATACCTCGGTTCATATTCATGTGTTAAAATGCATAATATTTTCAAATTTAATTATTATATTAAATAAAACTGTTAGATTAAATACCAACTATATGATATTTATGCACGATAGTATCTAATTCATTTAAATTCTTTTTATTAGTTTATGTTGTGTTTTAGATTAGATACCAACTATATAATATTTTCGAAGTTATTGTTTATGTTGTGTTTTAGATTAAGTATTTAAAGACGATTCGCGTAATAGTATCTAATTCATTTAAATTCTTTTCATTAGTTTTAAAATTATATATTAGATTACTTCAAAAAAAAATACCTAATGAAACAAAAACATAATTTTTTTTTATTGGTGTGTCGCTCATCTCTTTTTTTTATCTTTGTTGATCGACGACAACACCAACTTTAATGTTGGTTGTCGGCCGTTGATATTTTTTATTGTCTTTTTTTTTATCTTATATTGTATTACTATTTTCTTTTATTTTTATTTTTATTTTTAATAAGTCTGTATGACACATTTTCTAAAGCCTTATAGCATGTTTTATGGTAGTTTGGTCATTTTTTTTCTTTTATCTTTTTCTAAGGGTTGATTTGACATATCACGACTGATCAAGATGACGTTTATATGATATCTTGTTGATCCTCCCTACTTTGAACTCTCAGATTGGATTTAGATACCCGATTTGTGTTTGTGAATAACTTTTCACGTCGCTCGAGTCTGATTTGCGATTTATCAGTAATCTTTTTATAGTTTGATCCTTTTGTGGTTTGTTTACCGATACGATTAGATCTGTTTGTATCTATCTTTGTTCGAGTTTATTGGTTAGATTTTGAATCTTTCTTTGTATGGTTCTTATGTGATATTAAGTTTCTAGTTTTGTTTCAATGATTATAGGAATTTTATAATTAACGATTGTGATCGTAAATCTTTATTGTAATTTGAAATATTTCTTATTTTGAAAAAATTAATTGCTTTTATAAAAAAAAACAATATTGTAGTATTTCTTCATAATATTTCTTAGTCAATGATAATACACCCACACCCGCAAATACAATTGCTTGAAATTAAAATCTTTATGAATGATAGTATTTCCTTTAATCATTGAGCTCGTTTAATAAATTCAATTTATTGATAGATTTAAAACTTCTTAGTGAGATGCTTAAAAATATATAGAGAAAATTAAGGTAGGTTTACAATTTTTTAAATTAAAGATTAGAAAATCTTTTAATTTTTGTTTTAATCCTCTGTTTTCATATAAAATTAATACAAAACTGGATATTGTAAAATTAAAATATAAAAACTAAATTTTGAATTTTAAAAATAGTAGATTAACTATAACATATTTAAACCATGATTTTATGATTGATCGGCCCACCACGAATGCACTCTTCAAAGCTTTTTCGTGATTCTTCACAGCAAACCCAGATCCAATAATAGATGATGGATAAACATTGGGCTTGTCAACCGAACCGACTCATCAAAAAGGTAATACCGATTCCACAGTTTCATCCAACGGTCCACATCAACCAGAATACGTCCATCATCGATCCCAGACGTGATGGAAGGCTCTTTTGCTCGCATCAACTCTGCCAAGACAATGTTTTCCTCCACTATTCCATTATTCGGAACAACAAACGGTTCCAATTCCACATAAAAAAAAAGTCTATTTTTCTTAATTGTTTTTTTCTGTGAAGAGAAAATGTGTTACGGCCACCAACGTCAATCTCTCTCACCGAACCGTCCGTCCCACAACAACAATGCGTTGGTGGTGGATACGCTTCGTGTCCGCCTAGCCGAGACGGAGGCTCGACTCGAGCAAGCCAGGGCTCGAGAGGCCGAACTCACTCGCAGGCTCGAAGAAATGAAGCGTTTCGTTTCCGTCATGGAAATTCTCGAGTCTTACCTCAAACAAAGGTTTCACGAGCAACGAGAATACGTGGAGCGCATATTCTCTTCGCTCCCTGCTAAATAAAACAAGAGCTTTTCCTTCGCCAAATTTTACATAATATCTTTTTGTTAATATTTTCTTGTCTTTGTTGTCTTTTCGTGTATGTGTGTGTTATCTTGTTTAATAGATGGAGGGAATTACATTACAGCTGATTTGGAAACGTGAAAGGCTTATTTCTTGCACTTAGGGTTTGAGGAGCTCAAAATTTGTTGGGATTTTATGGAAAATTAGTGAATTTATTACTACTTTTTGTATTAAATTGTTTGATTTGATGTTAAGTATGAGTTGAATGAGTTTTACAAATTGGTGTTCTCTCATTGTGACTTTGTGAGTAATCCTTTTCAATCTCCACTTGTTGCTTAATTGATAATGATTTGAGAAGCCTCGTATAATGTGGAAGTTTCTTGCATTACAGGGCTAAATCGTATTCTTAGATTGAATCTTTAAGTTCTGGTCATTTAAGCATTAGCTAAGTGAGAAGAAAAAGGAGAAAGACATAGTGGATAGCGTGGTCAGTTGTTTGTTGCATTTCAATTTCTGGTTGTATTGAGTTGAACGGATTCGTTGAAGGCATAAGAGGTACAAGGCCAATATCTCGGTATAATACTCTCTGTAGTTTCTTAGATGAGTGAGTTCAAGAAGTTGGTTTTTTGTCTTTGTGATTAGTCCTTTTTAATCTCATTTTAGTTGTTAATTTATATTGATTTGAGAAGCCTCATTTTAGGTGTAAGTTTTTGGCATTAGGAGGCTAAATCATAATCTTCTTTTGAGCATTTGGATGGCAAGTGTGCCGAGGTGTTTGTTGAATTCTAGTTTCAGGTTGTATTGAGTTGAACAGTCATGGAATGCATAAGACATTATAGTAACATGTGTAAAAGGTCTTGGTATATTTGCAGTGTTTATTGCATTTTGGTTTCAGGTTGTATTGAGTTGAACGATAATCATTGAAGGAATAAGCGTTTACCTTGAAAAAGATCTTGGTATATTTGCAGTATTTGTTGCATTTCAGTTTCAGGTAGTATCGAGTTGAATGGGAGTCATTGAAGGCATAAGACCTACACGGAAAAGATTTTTGTATGATTGCTAGAGGGTAACCTTTTTAAGCCGAAGGAATCAGGCAAATAGATTTTTTTAAGGGTGATTCTGTGTATGTGTTTTCTCTTAAAGAAATATATTGTTTTACTGAAAATTGAACAGCTAATAATTGGTTGATGGAATGGTGACTGAAACAATTCATATGAGGTGGTGTGCTTCTCCGAGGCACAAAGAAAGAACTGGGAAAGAGGGTGGGAAAGTTGCTTGTTGGAATTGGAAGCTTTGAATGCTAGGCTTGTGGTTTACATGTAGATATATAGATATATCTAATTGATCTTATAACCTGCAGACATAATCCCTCACATGTATGATATATTTCGTGGATTGTGTATCTAACTTACCAATATGTATTCTTTATGGCGAGTTTTGGCAGCTATATGTCAAGGAAAAATCCCCGAGTGCTGACTGAATATGGGAGTGTTTTGGAGAACATAGACTTTGATATCCTAAGTTTCTAGTACTTGCTAGATCTTTAGGAGCCCATGGAATTACCAGTTCTTATGGCTCTAAGCTTTAGAAATGTCTAGTTTTTTAATACGGTGTTGGAATCCTGGGTTCAAATCATGCCCTAATAGATACCCAGACATTCTCTGAGAGATCTCATGAGCAAATATATATGATTTTGAATGTGTTTTATTTTATGGAAATAATCACTATAAATAGTTGTAGCCAAGAGGTTCCATCAAAATAATTTAAAGTAATTTCATATTGAGATTTGAAATTTTATTTGATTTAACGAGGTTTTGAGTTCTTAGAAGATCTTTGATGCCTTTCATGCAGTCAAATTTGAAGTACATGACGGTGGTTCGTGATGGTTAATGGTGATTTGTCACATTTGAAGGCGATGACTGAAGGTATAAATAATTTCGTTCTATTTGCCGTGTTTATCTCACCATTTTGGAATTTGAGTTTCCTGGTGTTTCTGAATCCATTGAACTCTCCTCGTCCAAATTCATAGTTCTTACACATTATTTTTCCCACAGATTCTTAGCTGAATCCTAGTCAGTCGATGGAGGACATGAGCATTTTTACCATACGAGAGGGGAACGCTGAAAATACTCCCTCCTAACAAGGTTCTAATGCTTGGTTTTTCTGACTTTTGCAACCATGGTTCGTCGATCATCCTGCATGTAAATGTTTCCACTGAGGACCATCAATTTCCCTCCACGTAAAATGTACAGATCATAAAAACCAGTATAATCAGATCAATGACTGCACAGTAAAAACTAACCTCGTCAAACCACCATAGGCATAAAGCAAATAAAACAAAACCTTGCCGCATAAAGCCATATACTTGGACACTAACTTGTCTGTCTTCTCTTCCTCGTACTTCCTCAATGTTTCCAGCTTCTCTACGCTCACCGCGCTTGTTGGAAGGTTCTCAACTGACGAAGAAGATGAAAAATAGATCGAATCAAATGGAGAAAAACAGAACTGAAGTCAATGTGCTTGATGCTTGAGCTTCTCGTATATCATTCTCAGCTGCAACATAGACTTCCACTTGGGTTTCTATTGTGAAAGGATCAATGTGGAAAATTCATGGAAATGAAATTATAGATCTTCAACTAAAGGAAAGGGAAGTTGAATTTTGTTGTTTGAATATTCATGTTTTCGCCAAAGATTTGTCGAGAACTTATAGATCTTCTCAAAGAAGTAAAGAACTCAAGTGTTCCCAAAATAATAATTTTATATTAAATATGATCTTTCATTAACCTAATATCAATTTGAATAAAATACAATATTTTAATAAAATATGCTAACACAAAATGATGTTCTTAAATTCTCAAAGGGTTAATCGTACAATTATAATAATTTATTAGTGATTCATAAACACATAAAAACTGGGTTAGTTTGTAGTATCTATAAATCATAATATTAATAATTTTATTAATGACATATAAGTAATTGTATGATCAATCCAATCATCTTATATTTAATTATAATAAAATTAAATTATTAAATTATTAAATTATTTTAAGTATATTTATAATATATATATCCACACAATTAATTACAAGTAATAGATGTATAATATAATATTGATTATTCATACGTTATGATAGCATAATTACTTATTAACCAGGTTACACGTTACATTATAATATGTAATTATTAACCTGGTTACACGTTAAATTATAATATATGTGTAACCCCCATACCGATACGGGTAGCCCGATCCGATCCGGGAAGTCACATTAGGGCCATCGGAGTGACCCACTGTAAAATAGCGGAAAATTTAAAACTTTTATTGAAACGTGTAACTTATAAAATCAGTTTTCACTATTTAAAAATAAAACAGATTTCCAAACACGTATATAAATCAAAATACAATTACATGCCCCCTAATCACATATACCATACTCTGCAACAACGCCGGAAGAATTCCTTTACTGATGTCGATAACTGCACTGGTATAATTCTTTTAACCTGAAAAGGTGAGTAATAGAGTGAGCTTTGGAAAGCTCAGTAATACAGAACTACCAGATGATGCAGATGAACGTGCAGATACAGATAAACATACATATCCTTATTATTTCCGAACATTTACAGATTTTTATACTGAGCAGAGATCCTACTGATATTTCAGATGGTAACGGACAATGAGCTTTCAGTTCAGAGAAATATTTCGGATGATTGAGTTAAGGAGATCAGAATAGGTTTTCTAGTGTGTTCCCAAAAACCATGTAACTTTTCAGATCTTTTTAAAACATATATATATATATACCCACATCTGTCACGAACAAAATGTGTAGGTTCCCCAGAACCATACAACCCCATCACGTCCAGTAAGGCCCTGAGCACACAGCCGAGGAACCGGTAAGTAAGGCCCTGAGCACACAGCCGAGGAACCTCCAAGTAATCTTCCTCCAACAATACCCCCCAATAAAACATGTTCCGTTCGTAAACGGATATATCAAAAATCAAAACATAATTCAAGTCAAGTATCATATCAGAATCCAGGTCATGTATCAGATCAGAATCCATGTCAATATCAGATCAACATCCAGGTCAGGTATCATAACAGAATTCAAATTTGAAATCATATAAAATATTCATGTAATTAGGGAACACACCAGAGTTTACAGGTATTATTTAGAGGTACTGTATCAGGCAGAGAAACACAGTTCTTCAGTATCTCGATAGAATGTTGGAATTTAGAATCACTATTGGAAGAGTTCATTAACTGACAGAATCATCAGTTATTCAGAATGTGAATTATCGGGATATTATCTTATTCGGACAATTTTCAGAAGTTGTACGTAATCAGAAGGGTATTCAGAATCCTTTACATCCATGTCAATTGATCAGATAATCGAACAACTTAAGAACGAAGATTCAGAACCTTAACAATCTATGTCGACTGGTCAATTCATTTTCCTTCTAGGGTATTTACTCTTTAATACTACAAATTCTTGTCCGTATACCATTTTCGGAATTATCGCTGAATAAATCTTCCAATGTCTTTATTTCATTTCCACGCTTCCACAATATCATGAAATACTGACGTACTTGATTTTGTAATTCATAATCCATAAGAACATTACATCATATATGTTCATTAACATTTCCAGATTCATCCAACTCACTTATTCAATCCTCAGTCCTTGTGGTTACTTAATTTATTTAGCATTCAAGTCCATTCCAGATACTTCGGGATTTTCCAGAGTAATTCAAGCGTTCCTGATTTTCAGACACATGCTGCACTTCCGTTCCATTCAATTTGGTCTTTGTGGTTGATTTGTCGAGCAAACGTCCAATTCTTAGTACTGAATGCGATCCAGAGTTGAACTAAGTTGAATACTTCCAAAATTTATCATCGAGTCAAACTTAAGAAGACGAACACGCATTCCAGTAATATCTATGCCATTCAGGAATTGATATAGCTTTAGGGTTGATCTACTCGCTTAAATTGTGTTCGATTACTTTTAAAGGTAGGCAAATACCTATGCTTATTTGGATTCCTTAATTAATCCAAGGCATTTACT